GTCACGGGATTCAAACAGATATTATGTGCGATGATGAAAAGCAAAGTCTGTTATCGTTTGGCCTCACTGCGATTGATTATGATATTTTCTTTAACTGATTTCTTCGTTATTGTTAAATTGTAGGGTTTCTGGGACTATCTTCTGGGAACTGCTAGAGACTGGGGATTGAAAGTATATGAACAGGTATTAATTTGTTTAAAATATACTTAAGGGCGGTAGTCGTCGCGCCACACATGCACAAGATATATGGGTCTTATATAAACAAAGATGCCAACTTTGACTGTTGTGCAGATCAACCAGTATAAACTCAGACGTTACCAAGTTTTGATTAGGTATTTTTTAGGTAATTAGGTCAAGTCGCGCCCAGGTCAAACCTCATAATTTCCATTAAGAGAGCATATTGGATTGTGGATAAATCAATGTTTATCAACACAAATGTCGCACATGCACAGCGCGACGACCACCACCTTCAGTGCTGAAATGGTTCTTCGAATGTGCCACCAGTTGTGGTAGCATCCGTTAGTGGTTCATCTAAGATGGAAAATTGATTTTGATTCTGGCAAAAATTCACAATCTGAAATTGAAAATCATCTTTACATTATTTTTTTTATTTTCTCATCAGCGCACCTGCAGCATCTGACAAAAAAAACCAACAACATATTTTATTAAGTTTTCTTAATCTAATTGTCATGCTTTTTTGACAACTTTCAGAAATAATACTTTGAACTTTTTTGATCTTAAACATTTAGCAATGTATCATTTATTGCGCACATGCTGGTTGCCTATCTTCAGTGGTTACAAAAATAAAACATTATCGTTGTAATCAAATCAAATCAAATCAAATCATGATTTAGATAATGGTGTTGATAAATAATCCTACTGATTTTGTGTTAATTGTGAATTATATACATTTTGTTTCTCTAGGATTGGTTAAACCAGCAAATTGATGAAATGCATATAACACAAAGTGACGTAACTATTGGTCGTACCTGGTTGATGCAGATGGGTAAAGGTGCCTCCAAGAATGGGATGACAATCCAATACTGTATGCCTATGCCAAGACATGTGCTACAAAGTGTCGAAATACCAGTGGTCACACAGGTATAAAGGGGTTCATCTATTGGACTTGGATTAATAACCTTTTCACCACCAGACTTTCTCGTTCAAATTTTTCTGCATTTTTTTCCTAATATTCTTCAATATTTCTGGAAATGAACCCTAATTTTGGAGCCAACAGACAAAATTTGAGTGAATTATCATTTTTTTCTCAAAAAATTTGCCTATTTTTGGTCCAATATTCTGAATAAAAATGCAGACTATAAACAGGACTATTTTGTGAATTTGTGATGAAAACTGGTGGTGAAAAGGTTAACCCTTTGTGTACCAAAGTCAAGTTTTTTTTACCTTTTGCAAAATGAATCACAGCATTGTTTTTCTGTATTTTCTTTCCGGAATTTTTCAAGTTGATTTAACATGAAATGTACAAAATCACTATAGAAAAATACACAAACATATAAATATGATGTGAGGATGTGATGACCAGGAATAATCCCTATTTCAGAATCTCAGATATTTATTAAACCAGTCTGGATCTTTAAGTGACTTCACTCTTAAAGTTCAAATAAAATGTCTGCCATTTTGTATAATTCTCAGTGGAAAAAATAATACTTGTTTCCAAGGGAACAAATCTGGTTACCCAATCTGAAAAACATGTTAATTCTTCAATCTATAAACTATCAACAAATCCTGAAAAATTCAGAAATATTAATTATTATTAAACAATTTTTCTGGGAAAAAAAATTATCCTGTTTTTGGAATAAATCTAATGTAAAGCGATTAAATCATCCCATCACAGAATTAATGATTTCGCTCATACTCCGCCCTGATAGATCACATGGAGGATTTGATTTTTTTTCATATTAAAAGAGTGTGGACCAAAAGATTGCTCGTGTTATCTTATGGCGATATTACAGAGCCCATCTTGTCTGGAAAAAAAAACTCTGCGCTGATAAAAATGGAGGAACAGTACATGGCGACAGTAGGTATAACCTTTCAGAATGACTAGAGCGATGTTGTTTTTTTATTTTCAAGATCAGAGCAAGTGATGACTACCATCCTGGTAATGATCAATGGAAAATTGGATTAAGTTCAATCCTGCACCATGCAGTAGGACTAGCACCTTATAAAGACACCATGTGGACTAGCAGTAAACAACCAGGGGATCCTTATACAAGTAAGATTTCTCACAATAATTCAAAAATAAATAAAATAAAACAATACATATAACAAAAGTTTGAAAATATTTGAATATTGAAACATGGGAAAAAAAAGTTTAAAAATATTTGAATATTGAAACATGGGGAAAAAAAGTTTTAAAATATTTGAATATTGAAACATGGAAAAACAAAAGTTTGAAAACATTTGAATATTCAACTATAGAGGGCATAATCATATTTATAAAGTATTCTTTTCTCAGATGGAACCGAACTTTTCACCGAGTTGCAGAGTGTGGTGTCATTATTGAGCAGTGGTCCTGTGGGTCCTGGAGATAAAATAGGATACATGAACAAATCACTAATAATGAGGTACTCAATTTTCATACATATGTTTTCTGTAACTTAAACCAAAGGTAATACCGGTAGGCCCCCCTAAAAAAATTGGTTGGACATCTTGAAAATTCAAGTTGTACTCAAAACATTTATCTTGCATACTAGTAGTTGTGTAATGAACAAAATGTAGTGAAAATTAAATTTGTTATTATCATGGAAAGTACATTCTTGGGCTGAGTTTATCAACAATATTCACTTTAACAGATCCTGCAACAGTGACGGTTTGTTACTGAAACCATCCAAGCCAGCAACAGCCATTGATCCACAGATATATAGAGTGAGTATTTGTGGATATTTTTTTTTCACATTAACAATGATAACAATAACAAGTCATTGTTAATGACACAGTCCCCGTCCAAATTTGTGTGATCTGACATATCAATTTGATGCTTATGAAGTCATTGAGATTGGATTGAAACTATTAATAGGAGATGGATTTGTAAGAAATTATGATTTAGTGCTTTTACTCGAGAATTAGACATTGGGCAGTCATATTGAATCAAATTACAAAAATAATGTTCATGTTGATGTATCTATTGGTATACTGTCTTTGTACAAAATTTAAACAGAAATTTTCATTGCATTCATGGGAAAGTAGGCATGGGTATCATGAAAAACAAAATGGCCACCAGTCAGCCATATTAGTTTGAATCACAGAAAAAATATGACATGCACCTATAACCCAATATGTATAATCATCAAACCAAGTTTGATCCAAATCGGCCCAGTCATCTCTGAGAAACAGCTTTGGACATGTAAAAATGACGATTCAGTGCTTTTACATGAAAATTGGGCGTCGGACAGCCATATTGAATTGAATCACAAAAATCATGTTGGTGCAGATGTATCTCTTGATATACTATCTTTGTACAAAATTTAAACAGAAACGTTCATTGCATTCAAGATAAAGTAGCATGGGTACCATGTAAAAACAAGATGGCCGCCAGTCGGCCATATTTGTTCGAATCACGAAAAAAAATGACGTGCACCTACAACCCAATATGTATGATCATCATACCAACTTTGATCCAAATCTGCCCAGTCATCTCCGAGAAACTGCTGCGGACACGTTTAGGTATCAGAAATAGCTAATTTTACATCCAAAATGGCCGCCGGTCGGCCATTTTTGCTCCGATCATGAGGTAACTTGAAGCGCATATGTAAGACATTATGTATTGTCTTCATATAAAGTTTGAATGAAATCCGTCAATGGGTGTCCGACATACATAGGGATGGAAGGACAGACAGAACAAACCCAAATTAATAGTCCCCGTTTTCGGACTTCTTCCAAACAGGGACTAAAAACAAATTTTGTCAACATTGTCGTTATGTGCTCAACATAAGACATAGCAACGAAAAACATAGTCTGATCATAAGTGAACTAAAGTAAAGCAACTTAAGGTGCATGTCTATGTCATTGCATTTGGTAAACTATTTAAAATGTAATTAAAGTATGTATGAGAAATGATGAGTTGTTAGCGATTTGTGATTTGTTTTTGTTATTATATCAAGTCATTACATATCATCATGTATTGTTTAAAGTTTAGCCTTTTTGTCAGCACAGATGTATCTCTTGGTATTCTATTGATCTGGCTAAAAGAAATGACATGCATCAAAGACCCATTATGTTTAATGGACATAACAATTTTGAACGTAATATGTCCATGCATGATCAAGATTCAGTTCCAGAATGGCAGAAATGCTTTATTTTGATGAATTCTTAGCACTAGATAGCAGCACTTTGGTCATCTTAAATTGGATGGGGTCTAACTAAGGTTAAATGTTAAGGTTAAATTTGTTTCTGTTATTTCCTGAAGAGTGCTTTAGGGAGTGGCGGTCCTGATGGTGAAGTGTGGTCGACTTACAGTGATATTGCAGCATATAGATTTGGTACTTTACTCTGGGTTAATGTTAAAACATCGTATCCTATCACTCCACAACAGGCTGGATTTGGACAGGTTGGTTTTTGCATCTACAGTCGAGTTTTGTGTGATAGTGAGTGTTATCTTATGGAATAGTATATATTACTCTAATCATGAGTAGCGGAAAAGATTTTGAATAACCTAAACAAAACTAATTTTATAATGATATTTGATACTATTTTAGCTTGGTAGTAGTTATGCCTTCAGTGACAGGAATCCTGCAGGCACATTAGTCAAATTTGATGAGAAAAATCTACTAAACCAACAGAAATGTGGAAAAGATGACTTCGGACTATGGCATACTACACCTGAAATACCAATTACAGCAAGGTGAGAAAAAATAACATGTGTATAACAGAGGTACATTACTTGGGATTTGATACCAAGATCCCCTTTCAATCTCGCTCTCGCATAAGAGTTCCAACTCATGCCCGAGGTAACTAGGATACTGGGATGTCCAGGTGGATCAAAATAGCTGCTCACGATATGGCAGATTACAATAACTATATTTCTGTAAATTTTGTATTAAAATGTATGTATTACATTTTTTCACTATGAATGTGGTAATACATGTTTTGTTGTTTAATTACAAACCGCCTATGTCATGTCAGAAGCTCGTAGCATCTGTCTCGCTATCTACGAGATGAGACTTGAATGGAATCTTGGCATGTTGTCATCATACAGTACTATGCACGTTGCAAACCCCAAGTAATGTACCTCTAATTATTTCAATATGTTAATCTGTAATTATGTCAAGCATTATATTGTATGATTGTGAACTCAAATACAGAAAAGCCTGTGAATAATGGCAAGCAGCATATGGCACCACTCATCAACTGACTTTCCGCATGGATGTGTAGAAGGTGAAAATATCACATTATACACTGTACAGTGAGTTATCAGAAAACAGCAAAATGTGAAATTCTTTGTGTCTCAAACATCTCATTTTAATAGTGACAAAAAACTAAAATTCAGTCTTCAAATACACTGCCCTCAGTCACGGTGGTAAATTCAAACATAAACAAATTCTCATTTCAATAATGACAGAAAACTAAATTTCAGTCTTCAAATACACCCAAACTATAACTTTTTGCATTGAAATACTTAATCGGAATTGTGAATGAGGGTATGGGCTTTGCATTATGTGTGTTATAACTTGTAGAAGTTTACGTAGAATGGTCGATGGAAAGTGATTTTAAACTGGCTTTAGCCACTCATCATTTTGGAGTTTGTATACAACTTAACTAGGGAATACCCATAATGCTCTGCTTCATTTTATATTTTCTTTAATATGTAATCTATAATGCGAAAATGTTTTTAATGTAGTATATCCATGAATATGTAGAATATAACATATTCCCCAAAAATACATGT